AAAAAGAATATCAGCAACGAGGCAACGTCATTTTTGGTGGCACGCGCAGTTGCGCCGTCGAGAGAAACGCTACGCGACCGCGCAGAAAAGCAGCAGGAACGCGCAACGGAGCGCCGAGCAACACTGTCGTCGCTCGACTCGCCGAGTTCCTCGGCCCGTTACCGAGCCATACGTAATCGCTTTCGCGTACCGGCGGTCCTCGCGATTGGCCGCGGCTGTTCCTTATCAGTGGCCGATTTTTTCCTTTCTTAGAATTAGGTGGCACCTACAGATATACGCGATACTGAGCTCGATCGCTCTTATCTCTGTCGATCTGCCGATTTTCAACGAAATCAGACTTCACTGTTGAATCTCTCTGTTTTTTTTTTTTTTTTTTTTTTTTTTTACTTTTATCTAACCGGCTCTTTCGGATGTAGCAGATATTAGGCTTGCAAAAAGGAGTTGTAATTCGCGTTATCAGAAGTGCATTTGTTGCTCACTGCTTCATTTAGCGAACACGTTGAATGCGGAATTCATACGTTTTATTTATCTAGAGTATCGTTGTATTTATTATGTCGTTGTAATGAATGCTATTAATAATAAGAATATTATTATTACAGGATATTAAATTGTAAATGTAACGTGATCGTACGTATTTCGGTTTTCGTATATTAAAAATAAGGAACAACCGGTTAGGAACCGATCGATGATTAATTTTCTCGTATTCTTGTGCAATGAAAGCATATTTGCCATTATAATTATCTATATTATCTATACGCACATTATCCAGTATTATCTATTTACTCATTTGTTTATTTAGCTATTTAGCTACTTGGTTAGAAATTTAGTTATTTATTAATTATTTAATATTACTCATTCGTTACAGAAAGACGAATGTAATTATTTACTGATGTATGATTATAATGAATATTTACTGCTTTTTTTTCTTATTCATAAACTACGTGTTTCACGAATTTTATAAATATTCCGAACATGTTTCGACATATTTATTGCATTAGTTTTTAGTTAGATAGCGATATGATATAGTACGATTCTTGGCCGATCCGGATGGATCCAACATTCGCCAGATGAACGTTAACGTACGATCTTTGTATTCATGGATTCAACATTTTCGCGATTTCTCTTATCCCGTGATCGCGAGTCACAAACTTATGCACTTTCACAAATTTATTTATACAGAGAGAGAGAGAGAGATAGTGTGAATAGTCG